GTTATAACTAAAGACTATGTTATATCTTATATTGCAAATAAGCTATCATGTAATTAAAATTTTTGTTTAAGGTAAAATTTGAATATTGAATTAAATTTTACTTTTACATATAAAATGATAATCACATCTGTCTTTGTAAAATGCTGTCTTAATTCCATAAGTAATTTCTAACATGTAAATGCAAGTATCACAATTATTTTATATATTACTGACTACTGAATTAACAAAGATATTATATTCAGTGACTGATTTGCAGTTTCCAAAATAAAGAGGGAAGAAACAAAATGAACCCCATTTATTGCCTGGAGGAGTATTTCAGATCTGTACAGATCTGTTTACTCTTTGTCTGTTATCAATACCCAATGTCTATTACCAAATCAAAATTCTTAGGCCTGCCAAGGAATAGAAAATTGTAACATATAATCAAAACGAAATCAGGTCAATAGAAAGAGATCCAAAATGAAAAGAGATGACAGACTTAAACATCTATTATTCATATGTTGGTTATGCTCAGCAGTTTAAAGAAAAATGTGTCATAAATGAAAGATATTAAAAAGGACTAAATGGAACTTTTAGAACTGGAAAATACCTGAAAGTTTGAATTTCACCAAGTGATAGTAACAGTATATTTGGTGTAAAAAAAGAAGTCACTGAAATTTAAGATATAGTGACTATAGCAATAGAAATAGTTCAAACTGAAGCAAAATGGAAAATGATTAGCTCCTTGATGAACTGTGAGATAATATCAAGTGATCTAACATATGAATAATTAGGAATGTCTGAATGCAGTAGGATGGGAGTAAAAAAATTTCCAAAATGTTTCCAAATTGGTGAACATGAATCCCACAAATCCAGAAATTTTAATAAACACCAAGCAAGATAAAGACCGGACCTTACCAAAGTACCTGATAGTCAAACTACTGAAAAACACCAAAAAGGGAAAGGAAACACCATGGGGGACTGGGGTATATCATCATCAGAAAACAAGTAAACCAGGATGACATCTTTAAAGGAAAAAAAAAGTCAACTTAAGTTTTATATGGAGCAAAGATATCCTTCAAAACTGAAAGGAAAAATGCAGAATATTTTCTCCAGAAAAGAAGAGCCAAAAAAAAAATATATATATATATATCACTAGCAGACTTGCAGGATAAATTTCTTTAGGCAGAAGGAAAATGATATCAGATAAATTTTTGGATCTTCATGAAACAATGAAGACTCTGGAAATGACACATATGTGTAAATATGAAAGGATTCCAATTTTTAATTTATAAAATAATTGACTGTTTTAAGCAAAACTAACATTTTGGTATTAATAACATGCAGTGATAAAAATATATGGCAACAATAAGGGGTGGGAGAGGGCTAATGGAAATACAATTCCTTGAAAGCTTATATTTTACACAAAAAAGTATATTGTTTGGAGACTCAGATGTTAAGGATACATACTATAAATACTAGAGAAACTGACACATAAAGAGATATAGCTACTTGTGAAGATAAATATGGAATGCTGAAAATTCATCCAAAGAAAAAGAAAAAAAACAGATTTGAAAATAAAACAAATGGCAAGATGATCGATCCCAAACTGATCAATAGCTACATTAAATGCAAATGGCCTAAACACTCCAACTAAAAGGAAGTAGTGAGAATTGTGAAGGATTTTCTATTTTATTTCCGCAATATAACAGGTTAGACTACCATACTTTTATAGACGCTGGCAGAAAACAAAGGACTTTGTTATTTCAAGTGCATGCTTACATTGGTTTCCTTTGACTCCCAAGCCCCATGGAGGGGCAGGGAGGCCCAGGTGGATGCTGTGCATACAGTGGGTTTGTATCACAGCTAAGGAAGCCCCAATCTTCTATAAAGGGTTACTAGCAAACCTACCCAACTTTTGCTCTGGAGGAGACATAATCTCTATTACGCTAAACAGCAAACAAACCTGCCCCAGAGGAGAATATATCTTCCAAGTTTGCTTATTGTACAAACATCCTTGAAAAGACAGTCTAGAATAAAAAATATTAAAACCTTTGCTTACAAAACAGAAACATGAAAGACCCATAGAAAAATTTCCCCCAACAGAGATTGTCAAACTGGAGAAAACAAAAATCTTAAGAAAACTAAAAGGCTATATTCAAAACATAAGTTGGTTGTCTGAACAAGTCATATTATTGGAGCTCAATGAACATTTTATAGTGATAAAATGTTCACACAAAATAATAATCATAAACATATGCACTCAATAACAGAGCATCAAAATATGTTAAGCAAAAACTGGACTGGAAGAATTCAAAGAACAGACAAATCCACAATTATAACTGAAATATAAACATTCCTCTCCTAGAAATGGATGAGAAAATCAAATGACATTACCAGCCAATTATCTTACTGATATTTAAAGAATACCCCAACATAAACAGAACACATAAACTTTTAAAGTACACCATGAGACAATAAAATAGACCATATACTGGGCCAAAAGTAACTCTAGAGGGATTTCATAGGATTGAAGTGATAATATGTACTTTGGTCACACACACACAATCAAAAAAAGGTTTTAGAACTAATTATAGAATATAAACTTTCCATAAAGTGGACAAAAGATTTTAACTATTTCTAAAAAGATATTCAAATAGCCAAGATGTACATGAAAATGTGGGAAATGCAAATTAATACCACTCTACACCCATTTGAATTTGTGAAACTTAAAAAGCTGATGGTACCGGAAAAAAAAAAAAAAAAGCTGCCGGTACCAACTTTGGCTAGAATAAGAAGCAATTGGTACTTTCTTACTTATATTATTGCTATGGAAATGGTAAAAGCGCTGTAACTTACAAAAAAAATTCCTAACAGTTTTCCATACATGTGAAATATGACCCAGTTATTCCACTCAGTTGTTCACTGAAGAGAAATAAACATGTTCACACAAAGAATTGTACATGACTATATAGAGCTTTGTTCATAACAGCCTGAAAGTGCAAACAGCTCATTAAGTCTACGGATAAAAAAACTGATTTTTCAAATGGTGTATATCAGACCACCTGGGTGGCTCAGTTGGTTAAGCACTGGCTTTTGGTTTAGGCTTGGGTCATGATTTTGGAGTTCTGGGATCCAGCCCCGCCCTGGGCCCTGTGCTCAGCATGGAGTCTGCTTGAGATTCTCTCTCTTCCTCTCCCTCCCCGCCCCCCGCTCCCATTCTCTCTCCCTCAAGTAAATTAAAAAAAAAAAAAAATCTTCAAAAAAAACTAAAAATAAAATATATAGTTACTTATCTGATAAGTATGGAGTACTGTATAGAATTGCCAAATCACTATATGGTACACTATAGAAACCAATACTGTTTGTTAATATGCTGGATTTAGGAACTTACACACAATTACACAGATGAACTTTAAAAACTTTATTTTAATGGAAAGATAAAGCACATATGATATTCCATTTATCTGGAACTCTAGAAATATAATCAACCTATAGAGATAGAAAGCAATCAGTGTTTATGGAAAATGGGAATATATGGGGAAATAAATGGGAAATAAATAAATGGGAAAATATCCCATGTTCAAAGATGAGCATTAATATTGTTAAAATGTCCATACTACCAAAAGCAACCTACAAATACAATGCAATCCCTATCAAAATTCCAATGTCTTTTTTCACAGAAATAGAAAAACATCCTAAAATTTGTATAGAACCACAAAGAATCTGAATTGCCAAAGCAATCTTAAGAACAAGGCTAGAATCATCACATTTCCTAATTTCAAACTATATTACCAAGCTATTAGAATCAAAGCAGTTCAGTTTGTCATAAAAACAGACATAAACATCAATGGAGCAGAACAGAAAACCCAGAGATAAATGCACATACATACGTTCAGTTAATTTTTGACAAAGGATCCTAGAAGACACAATGGGAAAAGGGTATCCTCTTCAAGAAATGGTGTTGGAAAAACTTCACAGACACATGCAAAAGAACAGAAATGGACTTCTTGACACCATACACAAAAATCAAGCCAAATGGATTAAAAACTTGAACATAAGGCCTGAAACCATAAAACTAGAAGAAAACATAAGCAGTAAGCTCCTTAACATTGGTCTTAGTGATATTTTGGATTTGACAACAACAGCAAAGGCAACAAGAGCAAAAATAAACAAGTGGGTCTACATCAAACCTTCTGCACAGCAAAGGAAACCACGAACAAAATGAAAAGGCTACCTATGGAATGGGAGAAAATATTTGTAAATTACGTATCTGATAATGGGTTAATATCTAAAATATACAAGTAAATCCTACAACTCAAGAGCAAAAAAACAAATGACCAATTTTTTAAAATGGGCAAAGAACCTAAATGGACTGAAATGGTGCTCAACATCAATTATCAGGGAAATGCAAATCAAAACCACAATGAGGTCACACCTGCTATGATGTCTATTTCCAAAAAGACCAGATAATTGCTGGCAAGGATGTGGAGAAAAGGGAACCCTGTGTGCAATTGCTGGAACTGTCAACTGGCTAAGCCACCATGGAAAATATGGAGAATCCTTAGAAACTAAAACTACTATATATGATTCAGGAATCCCATTTTTGGGTATAAGGTCAAAAGGAAGAGAGCATTATCATAAAAAGATGTCTGTAACCCCATGTTCACTGCAGTTATTACAATAGCAACGTAGGGAAACAACTTAATGTGTCCACTAACAAATGAATAAATACAATACGGTATATCTATTTCTCTCTCCCCATCTCTCTCTCTGCCCCAAAGCAGCAGGCTTTTCCTCACAGGGAGGTCTTGTTTGCCCGCCTGGGACCGGCCAGGCGCTGTAGGGCTGGGCTGGGCAGGGCTGGGCTGGGCAGGGCTGGGCGCGGTGGGGTGCCTCCTCTGGAGGGAGGTGGTGCGAGGCAGAGGCGGGGCGGAGAGACGAAGGGGCGGAGCCTCGGAAGGGGGTGGAGCGGGGAGGAGCCGGGGGCGGGGCGGGGCGTTGCCGCAGAAGGGCGGGGCGGAGCCGAGCCGACGCGCAGGTCCCGGGTGGGGGCGGGACGAGCGCTGCGAACCTGGGAAGCCCATCTGACCGCGCAGTTGGCACTGCCGGGTCTGGGGCGGGTCCAGAAAAGGACCCCCAGCCGTGCTCCCGATGGGGCTGTGCTTTCCCTGTCCCGGGGAGACCGCGCCTCCCTCGCCGGACCTGGTGAGTAAGGCCGCGTCCCCATGTCCCCCAGTTCCCGTGTGGCCGACCCGCGCAGCGCGCACCTGTTCTCCGGAGGGGCGCGCCAGGAGGCCCCGCGCTGTGGGCACCGGGGCCGTTGGAAGCGGGGGCGCGGGCTGAAGAGCTAGCCGCTGGTGGGTGTCTGGTGGCGAAAACGTGTGTGTGGACGCGCTCCGAGGCACTTCGGGTCAGGCGGCGGGACTTGAGCCGCCGCGGCCGCCGCTGCCGCCTCGGAGTCGCTCTCTCCACTTCCGTTACAAAAAATTGCCCACAGGCGGCACCACGGTGTTTACCTTTCGCAGACTTGGGCGAAATTGGGAGCTCGTAAGACGCAGGCGTACGCAGACGGTGCGGTGTACGGGCCATTCTTGGCGGTGCGGTGGATGGGGTCAGGGTGCGAAAGAGTTCCTCACTCCGTCTCCCGACGTGTTTAACCTTCTAGGAGATGTGCGTTTTCCTGCGTCTGTACCAACTGTTTAAAGAAAATGCTCAATAAAGTCTCTTACGCTCCTCCTGTGCTTTATTGGATATCCTAGTAATCGATGATTTCCCATTACTATTTCTCTCTTTCAAGTTCTTCCTTTTAAAAGAATACGGATTTTACGTAGTAAAGAGGGTACAATTTGTAATCCATGTTTAGCAAATAAAAATGCAAGGTGCCCACTATTTTTAAGTTACTTAAATTAGAATTTTTAGATAAATTTTAGATAAAAAAGAATACATTTAAAAAATAGATGTGCCTCATGTAATATTTGGGACAAACTTAGACTAGAAATTTGTCATTGTCTAGATGAAATTTCTACTTAAGTAGGTGGTTGGTGGTACAATCCATTTATACTTTTTGTAGCTTTCTATTTACAACAGTATCTTTACATTAATAGTCCTTACAGGTTGTTGATAACAGAAAAGCTGAATTCCTCTGTTCTCCTATCTGAAAATTCGTTGAAGGAACTGAGTTGTTTAGGGAAGTACATTAACTCTTCAGCCATTTGATTATGGGTACTAAAAATGACCTGGAAGTCGATATGGGAAAATTTACCTGGTCTTTCTTGTACGGTTATTTTTAAATGTTGTTAACTTTGTTTATATGGCTGTTAATAAAATACCAATATACTAGCATTTGTTAAGCCCTGCCCCTCATCGCCACAGATAAACACATGGCTCACTACTTGAATGTCACTTTATCTTTGGAGCTTATTAAGGACCACCCTAACTAAAATAGATCCCCTACTACACCACCCACTCATCCTTCCATTTCTTATCCACTGTACTCATCTTTATATTTTCTCAAAGCACTTACTACTATTTAACAGACATGTATTTACTTGATTATATTTACCTGAGTCCCCCTCATAGGAATGTAAGTTCCATGTGTATGGAAATGTTTGTGTTTTTTCATTGCTGCAACCTCAGCACCTAGAAAAGTTCCTGAGGCATGATAACTGCTCAGTAACTATTTGTCCAGTGGATGAATGAATGGATGTATTGTGGTATGAAAAACAAAGGAGCTATTAACACAGCTGCCAAGAGAATTGTTTACTGTCTTATGTATTTAAAGAATTTGTAACTTATAATTGTTAATAGTAGCAATACATGGTATAAAAGTAGTATCCACTGTTTCCCAACATGGAGCAGTACCTCTTACAAATTCCCTTCAGGGCTTCATGTCCTATATAATGAGATTAGCCCATTTCATTCATGAACATTTCTTGAAAATACCAGCCTACTTCAAACCACGTATTTCCTTCCTTTGCCTTATTAAATGTCATTTGTTGTATTATTGCCCTGACTAGCTTGTAAGACCTTTAAAAAAAAAAAAAGCAAATGAATTATTTTACAGGCTAACCTGAATATAGATATATGCACATGTAATATATATTATGTATATGTGTCTTATCTTGTGCTTATTTGAAGACCTATCGATTAGAAGAATGAAATTCAGGAAGTTAAGTATTTCACAAACACTGTAAATAGTGGCAGTCTTAGTGGGACATTTTGAACAAGTACTAAGTATTTTTGTAAATCAGTTATATTATCTCTAAGATATAAATTACCCATAAATAAATATTTTTGTAAATCAGTTATATTATCTCTAAGATATAAATAAAATAAATTCCATTTTATTTTAAAACATTTTTTTGACACGTTTTCTTTAGGAAGAGAAAAGAGCAAAGCTTGCAGAGGCTGCAGAGAGAAGACAGAAAGAGGTAAGAGTAGATATAAAATTCTGCTCATGTAGATAATTGGGTACTTCATTCTATTTATTACTAGCATTGCTAAAGAAAATGGTGTCTGATAACCTGTAAATTTACATGTAATCATTTTTCAAAATGATTTCTAGATTTCTATAGGTTCTATTAATGCATTTATATCATTTAATGCATGAAAATTATATATGTCTTCTGTAATGTGAGATGTCCCTTTAATAACTTTCTTCCTTGGGATTTTATGATGATGCCTTATAAAACACTGACAGATGTGAAATTTAGGGAAAAAATACCCAATGAGGAAATGATAATATGTTTTATATAAAGCTGTTATAGAAATAGTCTTGTGCTTTATAACCAAAGATAAAACCCCTCACCTCCAAAGAAAAACCTAAAAAGTAACAAACACCTTTTGGATACTGAATACTGATTTTTGTTGTTTTTCTGTACCACTTACTGAATTTTCTAAAGGCTGCATCTCGGGGCATTCTGGATGTTCGGTCTGTGGAAGAAAAGAGAAAGAAAAAGGAAAAACTAGAAAAACAAATGGCTGAATCCAGGCCCCCACCAGAAGGTGGACTTAGGGTAAGTATTAAAATTTACTAAAGGTTTAATTTACCTGGAGTTCTTAAAACCTTCAGTAACAGTCTATTGAGTAATTCCCTCTTGCAGTGGATTATCAGGAAGTTTTGAATACATTTAAAAGCATGAAAGATTTTTCATCCTTTTTAGAGATTGGGAGAAGTGCCAATTTATTTGGACATTCCAACATTCATTGTAATAGATTTGCCTTCTTTTTCCCAAAAGGAAAATAGATTGTTTCTCCAGATTATCTTGACACTACATCTTAGTACTTTATATTGATATAATTAATACTAATACATCGGAAACAATATGAAGAGTATAACGAGGAACATAAAAATCACCTCAATTCTGTGTCATTTTGACAGGCATCATTTCTAATATCCATTTATTCATTAATCTTATTAAATTGGATTACACTATGGTTTCTCTTTTTTATATATAACCTATATTTTTTCACTCAGTGATTTGAGGTTTTTGAGTTTTCTATTGTCAGTCATTATCATGGTTAAGTAAATTGGACAGTGGGGTGTATGGGAGGGTGGGGAGTGTAATACATGTACCTCGTACCTCCCAATGTAGCAATTGCAGTTCTTGACACTGGAAATATAATGATGGACAAGTTAAACAGGTCCCAGAACTTGGGGATCTTTATTGTCTGCCAAACTATAAAGTTTTTATTTTACACATTAAAGTTCAAGAAAATATTTGTTCAGATATTAAGATTTTATTCTTTGATCCATTTTTAAAGAAAATAAATTTCTTAAGTATATTTGTGAAAATCGGGGCGCCTGGGTGGCTCAGTGGGTTAAAGCCTCTGCCTTCGGCTCAGGTCATGATCCCAGGGTCCTGGGATCGAGCCCCGCATCAGGCTCTCTGCTCAGCAGGGAGCCTGCTTCCTCCTCTCCCTCTGCCTGCCTCTCTGCCTACTTCTGATCTCTCTCTGTGTCAAATAAATAAATAAAATCTTTAAAAAAAAAAAAAGTGGGTTAAGTATATTTGTGAAAATCAATATCCTGAATTTTAGTTGTTTATATTTAACTTGTCAATGATTTATTAGCACTTATTTTGCTGATTTACTATCTTCTCAATGGTTTGCTTTTTTTTAATTTAATTTTATTTTTTTAAATCTAGTTAATATACAATGTTGCCTCAGTTTCAGGTGTACCACATAGTGATGCAACTTCTTGACGCATTTTGCTATGCTCACTTCAAGTGTAGCTACCCTATCACCATACAACACTATCACAATACTACTGACTTTTTTTTTTCCTCCTAAAACTATATCTGTAAATACATACATGTATATATCCTCCTAACCTGTGGAGTAGGCCACTTAGGAGCCTCCTGATCAGAGGTGATTCTGGCTCAGTGCTATAACATAGAAATAAGATTTATCTGTGTGTGTTTCATCATTGTATATTCATCTAATTTTTTTAATAAGTAAAATTAATAGAAAACAAATTTTTTATCTTTAACTTTTAACAATGTATAAATTAATTGGTTTCAGTGGTAAGGTAAATAATTGTGACCATTGTGCTTATATTTTTTATATACTTCTACAATAGAGTAGAATAAATCTACCATAAAGTAAAATACTTGGTTGATACAAAGTCAGATATTTATCAGAAGTATAGAAGTTTAATTATTCCACTGAGATATAGGTCTCTGCTACTAGGTTTACTTTATGGAAGTTTCTCAAAAACAAAAAATTATGAAAAATTGTAGGACTGGAAATGATGCTGAGGTACTGAGCAGCAATTAAAATCACATACAAGGTTATAAGAAAACGATACTTACATATAGCCAGAATTAAGAAGGTACTTATTTGACATATTCTAACCTAACCAGTTTCACATCAGCTTTTAAACTCTGGGAAAGAAAGAACCTTTCTTAATTAAACTTGAAGCATAGCCTGAAACCTACACATTAGAAATAAATTAGGCCATGTACTGCTTCTGGTCTCTTCAGAAGTGCTCAAAATTAGAATCATCCCAATTTTAAATTAAGTACCTGTTTGTCTTTGTGTACTGTTCTTACAAGAGAGCTCTCTGGTTTGGTTAATAAAAATCACCCTCAAGGCCATCAAAGTTGGACAGTCGCTCATTCTGATAAACCACAACTGTTGCACTGTGTCATTTTCCTTTGGAATATTCCTAAGCACTTCTACCATAAATACATTAGCTTTAAGGGACATGCTCCTTTCTCCTTGACCATCTATATAGATCATCAAAAGCGTACAGTGAAGTTCAAAATCAATTTTTAGAGGCTCAGAACTAACAGAAGGGGGAACATAAGGCAAGTGTGACTTTAATTTTCAACCCTTCTTGGCCTAGGGGCCTGTAAAGACCGCTGCCAGGCCTGTTCTACAGACTGGCCTGGAGTGTCCTATTATGTAGCTAGATTCTTCCTAACCAGACTCCATAGTATGAAGAAAACATGTCCTTTCCCTGTGTTCATGAACACTACATCTTCATCTCCTGACTAGCTCTGCCTAGGATAATTGGCATTGGCAATGCTCAGTATCTTCTGGAAAGGCAGCTTTATTTTTTTTTTATCTTTTTAATTTCTTTGTATTGATATACAATGTTACATTAGTTTCAGGTATAGAACATAGTGATCCACAAGTCCATACATTATGCTATGCTCACAAGTGTAGCTGCATCTTTCATAACCCTGTTACAGTACCATTGACTGTGTTCTCCAAGCTCTATGCTTTTTCCCCATGACTTATTCATTCCATAAGTGGAAACCTCTATCTCCCACTACGCTTCACCCATTTTGCCCATCCTCCCACCAACAACCATCAGTTTGTTCTCTGTATTTATGACTCTGTTTCTGCTTTTTTAAATTTTTTTTGTTTTTTACATTCCACATGTAAGTGAGATCATATGGTATTTTTCTTTCTCTGACTTATTTCACTTAGCTTAATACCCTCTCATTCCATCCATGTTGTTGCAAATGGCAAGACCTCATCCTTTTTTTAATGGCTGAGTAGTACTCCCTATTGTGGGGGGAGGGGAGGGCACACACAGCACACCTTCTTTATCCATTCTTCTATCGATGGCCACTTAGATTGCTTCCATATCTTGGTTATTGTAAAGAATGTTGTGATAAACATACAGGTACATACATCTCTTCAAATTAGTGTTTTCATTTTCTTTGGGTAAATACCCAGTAGTGGAAATACGGGATCAAACAGTATTTCTATTTTTAATTTTTGAGGATCCTTCCCCCATACTGCCTTCCATAGTGGCAACGCAGCCTTATTTTAAGAAGTGAATGTGGTGCTGACATCCGGGTGCACACTAATACAGTATAGGATCTAACAGTACAGGAGTAGTGCATGTACTCTCATGCAGTGGCTTTCAACCCTAGCCATGTGGTGGGAACTCAGGAGGAACTTTTCTAAAAAGATTGACCCTTGGGTCCCACCTCATACCAATCGGAATTTCCGAGAGTGCAAGAGTGGACTTCAGTCACCAAGACGTTTTTAAGCTCCTCAACCTAATGCCAGCTCTAGTGTTTTTAACACTGGTCTTCAGAGATACATTGTGGGAAATAGAGTCCCATGTTAAAAACGAAACAAAAACAAACAAATTTAAATCCTGGATCCTATATTGTACACTGAATCCTTTTCTTAGAAATTTAAAAAAAGGCACAGTGTTCAAGTCTCTAAGAAGTCCTAAAATAAACGAAAGCATCTTTACTTGGATTAACCCTGAACTTTCAAAACTGAAGGACAGATTTTTAAAAGAAAACGTAACACCCAGTAAAATTCCTTGGATGTACATGAAAACCACTCCTCAAGAGACTGGTAAATACCTGGTACCATCCCAGTGGCTTTTTCCAGAATTTACTACTGCAGATTTTATAGAGTTGCTTGAACAGAACAACAAAGTTTCTCAAGTCAAGCAAGGAAAAAACTTGGACAAACCATTACTTAATTTCTGCAAGTTCTTAGTTCCCTGACTCAAACAAGAATTCCTCTATTTTTATTGTATTGGTTTCATTGTTTTTATTTTGTGGTGTTTTGTTTTATTTTTCCTGAACTGATTATTAGATACTTAGGATCTAACTACCCATTAATCTGCCCAGATACTTTGTTTCACTTCTTCGTGTTTTTAAACAATTGTTTTTAAACAATTATATATCTTATTTCAGATGTTTGACCATAATGGAAAATCATACTTATCACTACTATGCACAGAAATCATTTTGCATTTGTATAGCCCACATTCCTATTTTTGTTCACAAGGATAATTTAACATAACTTTAAATAAAATTTACTTTTCTCCATGTATTTTTCTTTTCTAGTGGACAGTTTCATGAGCATAATATGGGTGGAAAAGTCTGTTGCCAGTAACGAATATCTGCAATCAAGTGGACGTCCTCCGCTTACTTTCTTCTCTTTGAATAAATGAAGATTCAGACTTTGCAATTTTAGTGCCATTAAATGCAGTCAGTACTTTTCATTATCGATATACTGAAAATGCTTTTGATGTTCAAATTTAGAAAATGCCAGACCTTTCATTAAATACTTATTTTCTTATATTTGCTCTTCTGCAGACAGGCGATTTGCCCTTATTTAGGAGTTAAAACGTGGACCTAAATAGTGAATAAATGTATATCGCATGTAAAAAGTCTGCCTACATCTCAGACATTCAAGTTTGCTGTTGTATTTTCTCTCCTTTATAAAATGACCTTGCAATCTATAGTTTTCTGCTTAACCTTGTATCTCTTTTTATTTCATTATTTATTAAGGCTTTTGCTTAAACATACGGACTTCGTGCCTTTAAACTGTTCATCAGGGAAAATTTTGAAAAATCATTTGAAGGGCTTATGAGAAGGAACACTAAATTTTTATAACTTAGTAATATTTGTAGAAAATTATGAATTTCTCCTAATTTGTTTTCTATTTCTGTGGCTTATAAAATTAATATATGGTGTTTTACATTGCAATAAAGTGGTTTTTTGCTTGCTGAATTTAAAATTATATATTAGTAGTGCCATCAGAGGGCAGTGATGGACTGTTACACAATATCAGATTCAGCTCTAAAGATCTTTGTAGTAACTGAGTGAGTTAAACTAAGAATCTGGATAGGCTATACTGAGTAGTAATATATTTTTCCAAATTTCACAGGTGTTTTTATTCATTAGTATTTATTAAAGAATGATCATAAGATGTGTACAGATGTGAAATTGCCAGTACAAACATGAATGTATGAAATAGAAACATGTCAGTACTGTATTTTAAAAGGTCTACTTTAAGCATAAAGTACTATGAGGTTAATTCTGTGGGATTCAGAGTCATAAACTTTTCACATTTGTGTTTATTAGAAACATGAGTTTATAGCATTTCTGTTTTTTGAGTTTTCCTTTCTTGTGTATAATAAGTGAACATACAAGAATTTCTCTCTTTTAATTTGTTTGCTCTTTTGGATGACAGGGCCACAATCTGAGCCCTAAATTAGAATTCATAGATAGTAAGTACCAATAGGGATTATAAATTAAATAGACCAGCTCATTTGATCTATGGAAAGAAACTGAGCCGTTATTGTGCTCATCCCTCCCACAAGGCTTACCTTATATAGCAGTATATTGTATATGTTAATTTTAAAGAGTTTGAACTATGGTGTAAGTCTCTTGACTCTTGTTTGGAAAAATTACTTTTTCTATTATGTATAAAATAGTTTGTGAATACCCAGCCAAGACATATATTTAAACAGGCTCAATTTTCATCCTTTAGAATATTAGTGATATTTTTGTTCACAAAGGATAGTGAAATCATTAAACTTTATTTTAGAAATAAAATTCTTGACTTTATGAACATGATTAATTTTTCCAAGGCAGAAAGGAAGAAAGATCCTCAATAGCTGAATAGATATAGAACCAAATCATATTATCCTTGAACTGTGCAAATCATTCTGCTTTAATATATAAAGAACAATTTTATCTGTACTACCTTAAGAATTACAACTTGGGTTGGTGTAAACAAAGGTTTATATACAGGGGATAATGCCCTATTTCTAATAGAGTTTATATCCAAATAGCATGCTTATTTACTTTTGAACCATGAATGTATGTTGGTGTATTGCCTTCTGGGAACAATGGGATATGCTGCTCTAGCCAGTCATGCATGGCCTGCATCCGTGGGTTTAATCCGCGTTCCCCAAAACCACAAGGGATGCATCGGCTAAGGCGTGATACTAAAATGCTAAGAATAGTTTTAGGAAGGGGAAGGGAAAAGAGGAGATGAGATGCTTGATAGAAAACCAATCAGTGACTACTAAAAAAAAAATAATAATAATTGTACATATACATCCAAGCATCTCCCTCATCAAGTTATGAATCAGTTCCTGATGGGAACCTTAACTTGGAGCCAATTTCCCATAAATCATCATTTAAATAGGAAAATATAGTATAATACTTAATATGTGACCCAAACCCTCAAAAAATTACTAAAATATAACTGAAACAGTAAAATGCATATATGTTAACTATCATGTTCAGATGTAAAATGCTAAAACTATGGCTTCTTAATTCTAATCATGCTAACATGAGTGGTAACAAAGCTGTATATCATCACACAGCCCCTTTGTTGACATGCTGCATGTTGTTTTAAAACATCTATACGTGCTACTATGGTTCCACCGATTGTATTTGGAATGTAATTAATAGTTTTCACACACATGGTTTATTGTAAATTCTGTATTGCCTTATGCGGACACAAATATACATTTTTCCTATATAGAAATTGACTTTGGCTGTCTCTTTAACAAGTTGTTTTTGTTTTTTTTTTAAGATTTATTTATTTGACAGAGATCGATCACAAGTAGGCAGAGAGGCAGGCAGAGAGAGGGGGGGAGGAGGGCTCCTGGCTGAGCAGAGATCCCAATGCAGGGCTCGATCCTAGGACCCTGGGATCATGACCCCAGCCAAAGGCAGAGGTTCTAACCCACTGAGCCACGCAGGTTCCCTCTTTAACAAGTTTTATCTTCACTACGTATTAAATAATTAGAAGTTAGGTGAATGGTTGGGAAACCATGACACTTCTCTCTTTGGGATGAATGAGAACAACAGAGCTAATGGCCGTTTGGTATGTTCATAAAATCCCTGAATTTATAGCTAGGCATGGTTCTTTTTCTATACTCGAAAGGAGAGATGATATTGTTAGCTTCCTGTTTTCACAGAGAAATAACAAAATAATACAAAGTTTCTAACTTTCCTCCTTGGTACCCCAGGAGAATTGACATCGGCTTTGAATTTTCCTTTTCTCCTCCAACAGTTCAATGTGTTTATCTTCGCTAAGAATTATTCTACTCCCTTAGAAGAAAAAGTAACTTGTCAGTTTTAGTTTCGAGTAATATCTGAGTAAATAGGTCAGTAAGAGAGAGGTAGGTAGCTAGGCATCTCTCTCAGTGTTGACATTTAAGGTGTGCGGTGTTTTTTTTTAACATTTTCAAACAAGCATCTCAGATCCCCATGACTATCACATGTGCTTTAAGTTGATGCAAATGTGGCTCCATAGCCATTTTCTTTGATTTTCTCGAAAGCCACTTAGAAGGCATTTGTATATTTCACAAACTTTGAACAAGTTTTAGGTTGATTCAGAGAAGTTTGTTCCAACAACTCAAACAGTTTAAATTTCTCATATGACATAACTTTTTTATTATCCTGTTCTCCTTGTTCTAGATATGTCTCATTTTGCAAATATTGCCTCTAAATATGATTATTATGGCCTGAGAACTGAAAATTCATAAATTACTTGACCTGGATATTATACTTTATTATATCTTTGATTACATTGCCTATTCTTATAGCACCATACTTAAGTTTCAAATAATCTCCTCTTAGTTACAGACAGGTTTGAGCCCATTTTTGCAAGTACTTCGAATATAATCTCAAATGGACCTAATTAGTTTTGCACACATATTGACTCTTTCTAAGCTATTTTTCTGAAATCGGTTTTGTCACATAAGTCAGAAGTCAGGTTATCCTAACTCCTTACTCTATACCTACTTCCTAAGATGTTACTTTGTCATTCTACATTTCTCAGATAGCTAGGGTATAAGTAACAGACATACTTAAAATAGGTTAAAAAATACCAAGCATCTCATGCAGACAATCCTTAAATATCTACACACAAATTTGTAGAACTAAGGAGTTTAGAAAGGTTCCAGAATACTAAACCAATATATGAAAATGTCATTTCTATTTCTATGTGCAAGTAATAAATAATCTGAAAATTAAGAAATAATTTCAATGATAGTATCATCACATAGAAGAAAATACTTGGGAAAAAGAAGTAAAAGACTTGAACTAAAACCTATAAAACACAGTTGAGAAGTTGGGAAAAAAATCTAAATGGTTGACACCATTGCATATTTATGGCAAAAGGTATTTTGCAAATGTAATTCAGTTAATGCGCTTAAAATGGGGGAGATTATATTGTATTATCTAGATGGATCAAATCTAATCACGTAGATCCTTAAAAGCAGAAAATCTTTCCAACCTGTGGTTCCAAAGAGATGTGAATAAAGAAGTATCATTGAGATACTATATTGCTGGCTTTGAAGACAGAGGAAAGACATGAGCCAAGGAAATCAGGCAGCCTCTAGAAAGCGGAAAAAAGCAAACGGATTCTCTCCTAGGCCCCTGCTGACACCTTGATTTTAGCCCAGTCACACCATCTCAAATTTCTGACCTATGAAACTATAACAATAAATTTGTGTTGTTTAAGCCACTAAGTTTCTGGTAATTTGGTACATTAGCATAGAAAACAAATGATTTTTTTAACCTATACATTTTTAAACTAAATTAATGAAATTAATTTTAATTCTTAGATATAGGGGCGCCTGGGTGGCTCAGTGGATTGAAGCCTCTGCCTTCAGCTCAGGTCATGATCCCAGGATCCTGGGATTGAGCCCTACATTGGGCTCTCTGCTCAGCGGGGAGCCTGCTTTCCCCACCCCACACCCCACCCCCACCTGCCTCTCTACCTACTTGATCTCTGTCAAATAAATAAATAAAATCTAAAAAAAAAAAAAAAAAGACATAGATATATTTATGGAAAAAGGTAAGCACTGGAGAAAGTTTTGATGAAAACATTATTTGTAGAGAGAAATTCAATGCTCATATTAGTTTAGGAACATAAAAATCAAATCACTCAATGTATTTTAAAATATACTACAATTATTACTGTTCCAAGGTGATTTTATTTCTGACAAAACTTTAATTTTTTTCCCCCAGAACGATTACCACTACTTCCAGTACCACCAAATTATACAATGCTTGTTGTTTAAAAACTTCACAAATAACAGGTTGTATATACTTTGACTAAATCAGTCATGTGACAGACGCTTCCTCTCTGACTTTCTGGAGCAGGAAAGGTGGATTTTTTGTTGTTGTTGAAAAATGAGGAAATGACAAATTAATTCTGCCTATACTTAAGATACTCAGGATAGCACTTAAGGGATTACCTATGATAATATCTAGGTTATCTGCTGAGGGGAACAAACAATGCCACCACCCAGCTGCCCAAAGTGAAGAAGCACTAGCTAACCCTAATTTGACCCTTCCTAGAACTCTCAGGGAAAGTCGCCACTTGAAGATAATCTTTATTTCAGAATGAAGCATCGATATAGAGACAGATAATTTTTTTTAATTTATCTTTTTAATTATTGAATCAGTGAGGACAATAGTTTGCTGCTTATGGGTACAAAACAGCCCTGTCCTAGGTATACAAGGGTATACATAAGTCTGTAACAACATCAGCTACAGTGTATTTACTTTACTAGACAGCATAGCAAAGTAGGATTAACTAAAGATATATTTTCATAAGAAAATGCTTTAAAATAACATGAAGTCAATGAACACTTGACTGTACAATTTAGTGTCAAAATATAAACGTATGTCAGCTTATGTGTGTGAATTACACTAAGTCAGTCTCACCACCATGTACTTAGGAATGTATGAAATACTTCATAAGCGATTCTCTAAAGGGTGTACTGAAAACTTCCAAAAGTACCCCAGATATTTGGTCATAGATAAGGAATAAACTTTAAGGCAATCTTCCAAGCGAATGTAAACTTTTCTGAAGTGACCTTTCCAATAAAGTATTACTGTTGTGAATGCTCTGCACTTATTTATGGTGCGTTTGAAGATTTTTTAGTACATAATATCACACTAATTGTCACCTTTTTAAAAATTAGCTTAAAAATCCTGCAATTATAAAAGTGTCTGGGGTGCTTTTTGTAGACATAAGGCAGGCACTTCCTGTTGACTGATCTAGAAATCCTAAATATTTTCTTCTAAGAGCAGTTTTTTATCTCTAGCTAGGATTGTATTTCTAACATGTACTAAATACTGTGTTCACATACTGAAAAATAATAATTCGCCTACATTTTTTCTAATTTAAATCTGAGTTTAGAATTTAATTGGTTGTTTTCTACAGAAGCAACAAAATAAATAGTGCTACTCTCTGAACATTTTTCAATAGTAATGACATTTTTCTGTCTGTTACTCCTTTTTTCAAAGTAATTTTCAGAGCGTGTGGACTAAACTGACTACACTGGAGAAGTGGGTACAGGCCATTATGAGAGTCCCCTTATAGCGACCAACTAGTTTCATTTAATCTCCTTCTTAGCCTTATAATTGGCAGAGACCACCAGGTAATTATCTGGATTCATGTCCTTAAGGGTTGGAGATTTGCTCTGGATGGGGGATGTTTTGCCATCGACACGGGAGATCTGCAGCATCCGGCAGGGGTCATGTTTCAACAAATACCCTGCAAAAGTTTCCCATCCTCCTCCCACACGGACCATGACATGTTTGTTGTGCAGCATCTGAAATGAAAGAAGAGCAAAAGGATTACATTCTGAGAATTCTTACAGTATCTCAAATCCACCTTCATTTCTACCCCTGTTACTGTTTTTTGCCTGTCTTGTTTTTCATGCCCCATTGTTTTCCTACTTGGTGCCCAGCAACTGAGTTAACATACAGTTTGTGAAAGACACTTTCTCTTTTCCATGTAAGTGGATCATGGGCGCACATGCTATGTGGATCCAGCGTCACCCTGCTATGGGAATCTGAGGGATCTATGTATAACCCCTTGTTTGGTTGAATGTGTCTGGAAAGTTCTCTCTGATGTTCCATTATAGACTCATCACTGCCCCCATTTTCTGCCCATTGCCTCAGTTAAGTGCTACATTCTTCTCACCACGTTATTCCCCTCTGAACCAGGATCCAAAAGACCATGGAAATGTCTGCCATTGACTATCATGTGAATAGTCACACAAATACTCAATATGAAATAGAAAGGAAAAGTACCTCCCCAAAACTGAAGTCTTCTCCAGGCACTGAGCCCTTCAAGGCCAGACGTTGTTGAATGGCCATTTGTTTCCCTTTACACTTTTCCTTTTTGTTTCCTAATTAGTTAAAAGAATAACTTACCTTCCAGGCCCATGGGCCATCTAGAGTTCCAGATTAACAAGGCTGCCGGTTAAAAAAGTGAAGAATATATGGTTCTTTTGATCTAGTAAAACCATGTCAGAGCTGCAGAGGTTTGGCATGGAGAGCCAAAGAATTTGATCTTGGCTTCTTTCAAATATCAGAAAATGTAAGGTTAAGGGGAGATGTTCCTCTATCATCAAAGACCCTGCTGACTCTGTTTACTGCCCGCAAAGCAATATAATCTTGGGAAGGACATATAGTGATGCGTGAGGGAATTTGAGGAATCATTTTCATCACAGAAGCTATCAAATCTACTTGAATTTCTCTTGCTGTGTCAGTTTAAGATCTGGAGTTGTTGTTGTTGTTTTTTTTTTTTTTTTTTTTTTCTCCCATCAAGTGGAAGATGATTTTTGCTTACTGCTTTCATTTACCTGTTGAGACTCTGATGGAAGTTCTGGACTCTTTTTGAATCCCTGTATCCACAAAAATCTGCATGTGTGTTTAGGGGCTTTGCAGACACCCAGAAATCCACCCATGGACTCAAGATAAATCCTGATGCATGTAGTTGATGTGAAGAAGTTTCAGATGTTGTGCAAAGTAACAATGTACTGGATATCAATAAAAATGGAGACTCATGAAAAAGATGAAGTTAAATTTTACTCTACTGGTTATTCTCATTTAGAGAATAAGAACTATAATTAGAATAGAATTAGAATAAAAGACCTTCAGAAACATCTAGATAGAAGTTTTTAAACTTATTTTGACATCAGGATCTACTCGTTAAACAAAATCTCAACAGGAAGCCCTGTCATATGAAACAGGCAAAAGGAGTCAGGATTCAGCTGTATCTCTTTCGCCTCCCCTGGTCCTGCCAATAATACCATGATCTTGTTTTCCAGATGAAGATCCTGAGGCCCAGATCTTTGGTGTGATTTGCTGAGACTAGTGCCCAGATTTCCTGACTCCAGTCTAATACTTGCCCCACAACAGTTCTTCTTTGTAAAGCAAAATCCATTAAGGCTTTTTATAATTGGACTGACCCATTTCCATTCCCACAAGCTTCTGTGTGTGTCTCTACTGCTTGCTTCCAAAACTTGGAGTTACTGGGACAAAAATTGCAAAGGCGGGCATCCAAACAGTATTCTGACCCTTTCTCCCACTGTTTTAGAAAACAGTTTTGCCTATTGTTGATGTTCTGGCACTTCCTAACCCTGCAAATTACATTTAAGAGTTGTCGTTAAGCTTCCTAGCTATGAATGCCTGGCAAAATGCCCAAATTCAACTGACTATGAGCGGACTATTTCAACCAGAAGGAACCACCAGTCTGTACAATTTTTAGATAATTAGCTAACTCTGGAAAACAGTGAAAAGAAATGTTTTTCTGCCTGGCATATATGATCATTGAGATACAAACCCTTCTTGCAGATTCTTTAATGAATCCACGTGTGCAAAGTGGATCCAACATGAAACTGTTCTGCAGAATGTGAAGAACATAGGAATTAAATTTCTGCCCACCTCATCTTCCATATCCTTTCAATAGTTAAGCAGTAACCTAATTCTCTAAGAAGGTCAGTGGTCAAACTGAACAACGGTTTCAAGCATGGGATTAAGATTTCATGGCCATAAGCACTTACACCCTTGATGGCAGAGATTTAAATTCCATGCCTTATCTTAGTATATGCTAAGTCTCAAGAAAAAAGTAATAATAATAACGCCCATCCCCATCTCCACAAACTAAACCCCTACTATTTTAACCTAATAACAAATTAACCTGCTATAAACCACACTACTCTCAACTCTTCCCTCCCACCCCCCACAGTGCTTACTCTACAAAACCCCAGCCTTGAATTAAATGTAAAATCTTCTAAATCACAGTAGAGAAGTTGAACTCCTGCTGGAAGAACTCTTTTCATCTCAGGGATTAGTGACGTTAGGCCAGTTGCAATTAATTGATCCTTTTGGTTTGGTTAGCTCCATTTCTTATTCCTCCCTATTATTCTCAAACACACTACTCATCTCTGTCCTTCTCATTCTACTGACGGCTTCACCATCATCGGGCATGGCTTCCTCTCTCAGCACCTTCACTGGCTAATTTACTCCAATCTATATTTATCATTTTCTCTACTTTCCTCATCACAGAAAGAAGTCCTCCTGTCCAAAGTCAACTCCTCCCCATATGTCTTAATTCCCATTACCACCATGCAGAAGATCCTGAATCAAACATCACATCTCTCTTCTCTCTCTCCAACTTACTGTACCCTTAGCCTTCAGGGGATAAACATACCCAAGCCTCTCTCACTCTTGTACAAAGCAAAACTCTGCTCCCTCCATACCAGGCTTCTTTGTTCTCGAACGTTTTCCTTATAACTGAGCTTTCTGGTAAGCTTTCTGGTAAGCTTACACCTGATGTCTTTGCTTCCACCTTCCTATTAATTAGTTAATTCTTCCCCCACCTGTTTACTAACTAAACTTTGAAGGGAATCAGATGACTTCTCGAATTGTCAAATTCAATGGATGGTTCTTAATCTGCATCTTTCATGATCACTCAGGTAAGGTATCTGATTAGTACTGACCAATCCTTCCCTACTGCTTTATTCTCTAGGACAAGACTCTCTCTCCTGCACCTCCTCCTACCTCTCTCCTTAAACTTTCTCTGTCTCTTTCATAGGTGCTATTTCTTCTGCCTACTTTTAAGTTTTGTTGTAGCAAATGATTCTGAAGGATTCTGTCGTTTCTCCACTTCTTTTCTCACTCTGATCACTCTATATCTGGAACCTCATGGTTTTCTCTACTATCTACTTTTATCTCTCAAATTATAATTCTGGCCTTTGCCTCTTCCCTGAGCTTCCAAATGCAAGGGCATAACGAGCCCACCACCTTTCCCCCTTCAATTAGAAGGCTCCACAGGCTTTTCCTAAAAGAGTCAATAGGGTGGGCATTCTCTGTAACTAGTCAGACACCAAAAACATTCATTTATCCCCCAAATGATTCTCAGGGTCTATGTTATTGTTACTGTTATTCATTTCAGTGCCTCATCCTTTTCCGTGGGCCACTGTAAGGATCTCACTGCCTCGAGCCTTGCTGAGTCTGGTTTAGTAAATCCATTCCCACCGAAGGGAGTTCCGCAAGTGCCTGTTGGATTGTCTCCTGCCTAAATGCCTTCACTAGCTCCCTCCCCCCCTACAGGCTAATATTCAGTTCCCTTTACACCAAGACCACTCCTGCCGGCCTCACCTGCCCTTCCTTGAGCTCTGGGACCCATGCATTATTTTAGTTCTATGTTCCCAGATGGCACAGCCTTTCTTTCATGCTTTTGCATATTTGTCCCTAAATGTGGAGTGTCTTTTCTGCTTTGCCGTCCCTACTTACCAGGACCACAAACACTAATTCAAACATCACCTCTGCCTGAAAAATTCTTCACCATCTCCTTCCTTACCAGATAAGCGAATGCTTCCTTCCTGTATGCTCTATAGGTTGCCCGCAACTCATTGTTTCAGTCTACGGTAACTGTCAATTTACCTGCGTGCCTTTTTTTAATAATGTGTGCACTTGGGCGCCTGGGTGCCTCAGTGGGTTAGGCCTCCATCTTCAGCTCAGGTCATGGTCTCAGGGTCCTGGAATCCAGGCCCACATCAGGCTCTCTGCTCAGCAGTGAGCCTGTTTCCCCCCTCTCTTTGCCTGTCTCTATGCCTACTTGTGATCTCTGTCTGTCAAATAAATAAATAAATCTTTAAAAATAAATAATGTGTGAGCTCTCCAGAGAGAGTGATGATGCATCTCATTTCTTAAATTTCCCATATACAAGCTCAGAACAGTATCAATACTGTTATCGTATTAATACTCCTTTCCGTGTATGCTTCCACAGGCTCTACTTAACTTTGCTTATCTGATGATGTCATTTTCAGAATTATTCCATTTTATAGATGGGAAAACTGGTGCTTTTAGAAGAAGGACTGATGTCCTCAAGCCACCTGTGCATGATCACACCACAAATCAATGGCAGAGCTGAATAAGAATTATTTTCTCCCATTAGGTCACACCCACTGATTCTATAAAATATTTGCTTAGTTACTTGCTAGTGAAATTTAGCACAGGCAAGGAACTGTCAATGTCAGAAACAGTAATCAGCAGCTTAAGCAAATTAAATGCCCATGTAAAATGATTTATGGTGCTATGCTCTAATAAACCCCATATAAACATTGAATTTCATTTCAGAAGGTTATCTTGCAATGGTCCTATAATTACTTCAGAAATAAACTTGTGTCAAGCTCAGGTAATAGGATAGAATATATTTATAGCCAGATAGCTGTCAGTGTAAGTAGGACTAGGCTTTGATTGTCTGTTCAGTTACAGTGCCTTTATTTTCTGTGTTTCACAATACTGAGTAGTTTTG